CAACCCAACTCACATGTACCGCCGCCGTTTGAAACAGCCCGAACACCGACCTCAGAGGCAATAGCCTGCAACTGGGTCAATAATACAGTGGTCTAGATTGCCAATGGGCGCATTTCTCCTTCCGGGTCTGCCAATTCTAAAATGTCCTTTCAAACTCAATTGTTTGTTAGAACTTATCAAAAAGCGTTTGGACATCATGGTGAACGATCCACACTTTGGTACATAAACCGATATGCTGGATAGGTTCAGGCTAACGAACCTTTTCGGAATTATGGTCCACAGTGATGCACATAAATTTGTGCAGAGAGGTGAGCAATCGGTTTATTATTTGCAATGACTATTAAGGATATCAACTTGCGATTTCATTTTGCCTGGAACCATCTCACTCCCACAACCCTCATATCCACCATTAGTCGATCGCTTCATCGTTACGTATGTTATCTGGTCCATTTATGTGGCATTCGGATTCCAATTTTTCCTGTGACCAGCCATTAAACATATTAAGCCTGTGCTTTTTCACCCGTTTTAAATCATTGTTCCATTGCGCTGAAAACAACGAGAGGATTGGGCAAAATTAAACGTCTTCGTTGTGGTCTCTCGGTGCGTGGGCACGCTGGAAAATCGTAGCCCAGATACGTAAACTTGTAGTATATTCCTACTAGCGAACACTCTACCTCTATGATGTTTTACTAGGCTGGAACGACGGTTTTCTCTAAGTTGCCCCAATTGGCTAGATTTACCAGACCCCAATCGCACCGCATTCCCATTTTGCTGTAACAACGCTACTTATAATAATGACCTAAAGCTGTGGAATGGTGGAGAACTTTTGTGGATCTTGAGTCGATTCCGCGCCCCTGGAAAGTCTCTGGGACTGATCTACTCTATGGCCACTAACGCTAGCATACGTAAACTATTCCGTTCTGCGCATTGAAGCAGCCTGTCACTCTTACTTACTTCTGGTCACAGCGATGAGTACTTAACCGAGGGCGCTTGAATAACCGTGATGAGCACCGGCTTCTATGAAGACGTGTGAGTCACCCGGCTGTTAACGGCCTTTGTGTTTCGCGGCAAGTTCAGTAGTCCAGGGAATCCTGGCCTCCTCGCTGCTTCACTCGGACTATTTTGGCACGCTGAGTAGTTTACCACTAATCGAAAGCCGTTTTATCTTCACCTAGATAGCCGGCTCCCCACGGTTCACAGTATATGTCAGGTATATCTTGGCTTTATTGTAACCCAAGGCTCCGCATGGGATTCACTAAGTCAACCCGCTTCCTCGGCCTGGGCAACCGCGAAGCACCATGCCCACATAACCTATGCATCCATGCCTCAACCAACCTTCGCTTGCTCAGTCCGGTCTCCCTCTATCTGCTCTCACTCACTCGAACTGCTCTCCTTGGCGGCTGAACCCGCCAAACCACCTTTTACCGCACCACAGTCTAATCACCGCATTCCACGTTTGTTCAAACCTCATTCTTAGTCTCCACCTACGTTGTCGTGTTCACAACACCGCACCGCCTTGGGTGAAGTTTCTCGTTATACGGATCAGATGGTTCGGTCCGGGAGTGCGCCAGGTCGTGTTGACAATCCATTTCTAGGGCTCCATTCCCAATTCAAGAAGGTAATTTTCAATGTTCGGACATTGATGCAGATTGGATCACAGGCGCCCTTGCTTGCAGTCTAAAAAGCGGATTTGGCAAGAAACCGTGCGCAATGGTGGACCCCTTGTGACTCTGTATTCCCAAGGACACTCGTTTATTTATTTTCCTTTCCACTCGTAAGTTTAGTTTACTTCCCTTATGTTGCGGCACAAAGCCAATTGGACTATTGGCTGCGTTGAATATATATATATATATATATATATATATATATATATATATATTGGCGCGCGCTCCAAGGGACATCAGGATAAATGCGTTTCCCACCGGATCCGTGTCTTGGCGCGTTTGCGAAGAACATAACGTTTTCTACGTCGGTGGAGGTTTCTAGTGTTACACGGATAAGTCCGGGTTCTTCATAGTGTGGCGAGTAATTCGCAATAAGTTTATGGGTTTGGGCTTGACACTCATAAGCAGGCACAATGAGTTCCATTAGTCTTGATCGTCCGATAACTTGCCCCGCAATGTGATGGTGGTAGGTCCGGAGACATTTGAGCGTTGTTGTTGGATCCCTTTTACGCTGATCTACAAGGTAGTGTAATCGTTTGTCCTGGCTTGCTGACTAATGTTGATTGTTTGCTGTTTGGGGGAGGGGACTGCAGGTACCGTAGGTTGGTGTTCAGCTGCTTCATCCTTGTTAAGACTAAATATCTGGTCTAGTTACATTTGCTTAAGCAGACATTTCAAGTGGTGCCTGATTTTTGTTGCCATGAGTACTGTTAGACTCTCGTGGATACGGTCGTTTTACGTCTAGCGTTCTGCCAAAGTTGGAGAAGACAACGGAGATGGGAGTGTGGTTGATTGCGGTTCAGGGGAAGCAGACTGTGCAGCATTCCGTTGCTTAGAAGCCGCCAAGTTTCCCTGGTGTATACTCGCTTCCATTCAACTAATCTAATCGTTCATCCTCTGCTCGGCTTCTACGGTTAACCAGTCGCACTTTTGAACTAGAATAAGTAAGCACTGAACGTATGTGATGGTGGAGCACGAAGTACAGAAGCAAAGTGCATCTTGTAAGCTATTTCGATCTCGTACCTGTTGTTGGGACACATTTGCACTTCGGATGATACCATTCCAAACAGTGCGAGCAAGCCAGACCGGTTCTCTCTACTCGATGACATTCTCTTAACCTGCAAATGCCTTTCGTTTGAAGTCTTTTCGGATTCGCATTTCTGCCATTCAAAGTGGTATCGTTACCTGACGCACTAGGTTGCTTGGCGTTCTGTACTTTACCAGCTTTGAGAGCGGCGCACATCGGTCAGGTGAGCGTGGTGGTTGCATGGTCAAATGAGCGGTCGGCGCGGTCGCGCGGTTCGGGTGACGGGTTATGCACTGGCTGACAAGGTCACAAGTAATGGCGAGTGACTGGAACCTGCTAACGGAATGTGAACACAGAGCTGAACGCAGATTGAGAGATCACAAATTCTTTCACAGCTGTGCTGGGAAATGCCGCATTGGAATACGCTTAGGCTTTTCGGGCTGTCTCGAGGATTCGGTATCGAATGGTGTCGCACAGAATGGCAATCGGTTCAGTTTCACTGTGTTATCCGCTTGCGCTTAATCACGGATAATCGTGAAAACGGTTAGTGACGCCAAGAGCTTTAATCATAGTAGATACTTCCACGTATGATGGATCAATATGTTGGGGTAGTAAATCCGGTTCGAATGAGCGTACAGTGACAACGCTGCGAACAGATGGAGAGAGGATAGAGAGGAATAATCAAAATGACCCAAGAGCACGCAGGTCATGTGTGTGTGTGTGTGCGTGAAATCTGTTTAAGGAACATTCTCGTACTAAATTATTATTCATTGTTATTCATGTGCTTTAGCACATGAATAATATGACAAGTTTTCGGCAAGTAACACAATATAGTGATAAGCTGAGTGTTTCGGTGTTGCATTGAAGCAACATCGAGACGCTCCATTTCGGCTACGCTCCCAGAGTGGCAGAGGCTTCGAAGTCAACCGATGCAACAAGTGAGATTGCTTGTCGCAATTCAAGACACATGGCGAGTATCCCAGAACCCAACACGGAGGAAGTCGGTATGCACTTGTTGTGCCACTGAGGGCACAGTGAGTGTTTTAGCAAAATCAATTCTATGTGTTACCCCGTATAACATGAGTGGTTGAGTGATGAACGCTGGAGTGATTGTTGGAACACCCCGAACGTCTATTTATTGTGTCGCTGCCCGTTCCAAGAAAATGCATTTTGGACGCATTTCCGTCACTCAAGGCAAACTTTTCAGCACGATTTCTCGGTTGAAAACGCCGTCCAGACTCCGTCAAAATCTACTTTCAAAGCATTATAACGCAATACTTAAGACAAGACTATATCCAAAACTATTTGCGTGACTAATGTTTCTAAAATATATCTCACTGCGCCGGACAGAGGCACAAAATTTTGTCAAGCAGCGGCAACCTATTGGTCACTTCCAATGGTAATGTTAACGCCAGTGGTGTTTGTTGTACCGCCTCAACCGGTTCCACCCTGCACGGTAATGAGAACGCCAAAGACTAGCCGGACAGGGAATTGTATTGCGTTGGAACAGAGTGATACAAATAGGATGAAGCTTAGCTACTAAACACATCCTAATCAACTACACTATCGAGGATGCTGATTACTAGCAATTAACACTACTCAAACCGGTTCAGTTCTGAGTTGAACTTTGCTAGTGAATCTCACAGATTAATACTCAACCTATTGAGTACTATCTGAGGGTCGATCGATGCGTGATTCGTAGGCCTCGTTAACATTTTTAGTGGCACATCATATCGGTTAATACCATATTTCGACATATTGCGCTATTTTCTTGTTCATATTCCTGCGAGCAACCGAAAGCGTTTGGCCATCCATCTGCACGCGTTCGTACATTGTCAATGTGATGAACGGATGAATTGACTGTGCAATTCCAGAGTACTGATGATCAGGAGCTCAAGGACGGGAAGTGTCCAACAACCAGGCATTCACTAAAGAAGTACGCCCTGAGTACGCAACAGCATAATCCCGTCAACCTTTCCACCTAGTGAAGTGCATCCGTCGATACAATTTAGTGAATACAAAACCTTGAAGCTACATGACACTAGTAAAACAAGGTGAATTCTATTTCATTTGCTACTCGCTTCTAACCCTGCACTCTACGACCGGTTTCCTCTAGTCGGTCACGAGGACCGGACGCTGGTTGATTAGCCACGAACTACCGGAGCCTCGCCAATGCATTTCCAGTGATTGTCCACTGGTTGACCGAGTTTAGTTGACCCTCTGGGTCGACAGCACGTGACGTAGTGTCACTGAGCCTTAACACCGATAGGACCACAAGCGGTCGTCACGCGTGGCACACGTCCGCGTGTCTGGCCGTGCATGGCATGTTTGACCTATCACAAGGTGACTGGCAGAGCGGGCCAACGTGATTGGTTGGTACTCTCAAGGTCGAAGTTCGTCCGGTCGGACGATCGGGCTTAGCTTGAGGTCAGTTGCTTGCTGGATACGCTCTTGCCGGATGTATTGTACTTCGCCTCCGGTACGTGTGAGCCTGACGCGCGTGGGGAACCAGGAAGCGGATCCCACCACGGCCCAGTTTGTCCTGTTAACGTCGATGCAAAAGCTCGACCAAGCCAGACGCTCTCGAGGTGGAATAAAGCTCAGGAGGGGACTGTTGATAGCCGTCACTGCTCTGAAAGCAAAGCAGATGCTGTGGGAGAGGGATTTGCACATACACAGCTCAAACCTTATGGTCTCAGGTTGTCAATCCTTGGCGGACAATTCCGGCTTGGTGGCCGATGGACCACAGAATCCTCAGGACAGCCTGTTTCGTTCAACAACCATTTCCAACCCTGTATGGCCCGCTCAGGGCGACCTGACGTGCGAAACAACTCAGGTGAACGAAGCAATAACTCCGATGCCGACCACTGATATCCAAACACTATCATCACCCAGTACATTCCCCGATATAGACTACGTATTTCCACCGATCGACCAGCTGTGTTATGCTTTCTCAGAGATTGGGTCTTCAAGATTCGAAAGTAAGTGCCTTGTGCTTTTCTATACTCACTTACAAAGTGCCTAATTAAAATATGACTGGCTCGAATTTGGACTGGGTTGTTTTACTCATAGACACCAAGTTAATTAGTGCCGTAAACTATGATTGCTCCAGCATCTGCGTAACAACTTCTCTGTCCCCGTAGTTGATATGCTTTTCATAATCCCTTCCTGCGCGCTGATCCCATTTCCATACTTCAGAGCTTGCTTGATATGGCGTTAAGTTACGCATAGCCGGCTGGTTGTAACGGCGTTTTGCATACTGACTTTGTCAGGGAGTCGATTGCTGCATCATCAGCCTTATCTGCACCACTTTTTCCTCCTGTTTCCTCACCGGTTTTCAGGCCTTCCTTCGCTTGCCAGTGGGTTTTAAGCCGACCAAGTGATAAAAATAAGGTTTACCTGCGGCGGTCCAACAGTAGCTGTCATATCGCTCACTGGTGCTCCGTTTCCGCTCTTCAGTATTTCAGCTAAAGTCCTTTCTGTACTGCTATTATTTTTGTTGATTCGATTGTCGTTGTTCGTGCTTATTCAAATCGTCTACTTTCGCCTCCTCCCTCGGAATTGCCGTAGCCAAATCCAGCTACATCTCGTCACTTCATTTGAGGCGTTTACTTCGTTTTGTTCCCTCTATACCACTTCCTACTGTTGCTCATTGATAGTTAGATAAATACTGCGTTTGGTGACTGGAGTTCAGAACTTCCGACGGCCACTGCAGTCGCATCGATAAGAGAACCGGCTCTATTTAAGGGGCTACTTCGTAATTGTTGCTCATCGCGTCTGAATCCTGCACGCAAACTTGCATCTAAAAGGCTGGGTGATCTCTGGTCGGCAAAAGAGCTCATGACTGTCCAAATAAATCGACTTTCAAACTGTTCTGCACGATCCTGTAAACGTATGCCGGCTTGTACGTACGACGACTTATTGTACGTAAACCATCATTGCTCGTTAATACACCTTCGCTGAGGGTGAGAAACACATCAGCTGATCTGCCGCAATACAAAATAGGTAAGATAAAATACTGTACCAAAAATTCAAAAGCAGGTAATATAATGATACATGTTATATTATGTAATTCGCATGAGATCGGAATTGCAGGGGAATCTAAAAGGGTGAGGGATGGACAAAGAAACGGCCAGTCGTCCCTTTAAGCATGGTTTTGGTCACATCAAATAAGAAGGAAAATGGCATATGTTCATATAGATTAAATATTATGATACACCATTAACGCCACCGGTCTTTACCTACAAGTATACTTTTCAACAAAATCGTACTTCCTCGAGTGACTGCTAGATTGTCGTTGACGGACCGTTTTATGTGCCCCAGGCCGTCTCAGTGAGACACACTTGGAAAGGCTTCATCATTAGGTAATTATGATTCGCGAACTGATTGTTGATATTTGCAGCCAACAAAAATACATTTTCCCTATATGTTAAGCCTGCATTGGAAAATGATTCTAATTCACCGCAATTCATCCCAAATATGGATCACTGGGACGACCAGGTGCAAGACTCACTACGTTGGATGTTTTTCGATTACTCGTTGGATGTGGGTGAAGGCAGCGTAACGATAAAACAAGTAGTCCGACTTGGTCAGCATACTGACCAATCATGTCGACCTTTAAGAATCACCTTTGCTGACCACAACACGCCACAACTCATTCTGTCTCGTCTCTCCAGGCTTAAAGGCACCAGGGTTCACATCCGCCAAGACTTGGAACCCGAAGAGAGGAACCGCTTGAAGACTGCGGTCTTTGAGCTTAAACGCCGTACAGAAGAAGGCGAAACTGATCTGCACATCATAAATTTTCGAGTGATCAAGAAGGGTGCACGAACCCGTATCAGTCGGTTGATCAACCTCCAGGCACGTCCCGCGGTGCCTCTCAGGACCGTGCTGCATTCACAAACATCTGTAGCCTTATGAACAAACGGGATGAGCTGTGTCGCTTCGTTGCCTCTGAGCGACCAGACGTCATAGGACTGGCGGAGACATGGCTAACTTCTGAGGTAATGGCAGAGGAAGTCGATCTCAGTCGCTACTCATGCTTTCGCTGCGATAGAATATCAAATCCTAGTGGTGGTGTCTTACTTTATATACGGTCTTCCCTGCGTGGGAGGCTTGTAAGCATGTACCGAAGTGAAGATGGACTGTGTGAACAGGTATGGTGCTCGATCAACCTCAGGCGCGGCAAGCTGACAGTAGGTGCATTCTACCGTAGCTCTCTGAACCGCTCTTTAGATTGGCTACCGCATCTTCGGAACAACATGAGTCGTCCATGTTTTCTACTCATGGGTGACTTCAATTGTCCCCACATTCAATGGCCTGAAATCCAACTCATGCCCGGGTATTCTGAAGTCGAATCAAAGTTTGTTGATTTGTTGCTTGAAACTGGGGCATCGCAACACATATACCAACCTACGCGCATGACGGCGCGTTCGAACCCATCGTGCCTTGATTTGATGGTGACAAATTGCGAACAGCGGTTGCATGACATACGAATCCAGGAGCCCCTAGCTAAAAGCGACCATTCCGTGCTGATAGCCACTATGGAACTGAACTTGCCGAGTGTATCTCCGGTGGAACCAGCTTACAACTACTGGAAAACTGATTTCGATGGATTAAATTGAGCAGCGAGCCAAATGGATTGGTCTGTACCGCATGTTACATCTGTGGAGGACGGTTGGACAGTAATAAAGGAAGGATTGGCTTCGCTTTGTTCTCAGTTTGTGCCGTTGAAATTTCAGGAAGTCAGACCAATCAAACCACACTGGTTCGACAAGGAATATGGTAGGCTGGCTCGGTTACGGCGAAGAATGTGGGACGCATTTCGCCTCTCTGGCTCCGCCACAGATTACGAAGCATATAAAAGACAGCGAAATATTTGCAACAAAGTGAAATTGATAAAGCGCCGGAAGTTCGAAGAAAAGCTTGCAGCTGACGCGAGGATGCCCCCAAAGAAGATCTTTGCTTACGTGAAACGCCGTTTGAAGCCAAAAGGTGACTTGTCATGTCTGGAAGACGTGGACGGACACCTGCTAACTTCCAGTTCCGATCGCGCGTCCGCACTGGCCGCTCACTTCGCTTCCGTGTTTGCAAACGACGCGGCGTCCATACCCATCTCAGCGAGTAACATTCCTGTATAACTCAACAGTTTGGTTTGTGATGTCGACGAGGTGCGCCTGCTACTTGCGAACCTTGACAGTACCAAGCCTGCAGGGCCTGACGGGCTTCATCCGCTAATTATCAAATCACTAGCTGCCATTATCTCGCCTGCTGTTACGCATCTATTCAACAAATCATTGTCTGAGGGCTCATTGCCAAACGACTGGAAGCGCTCGGTGGTGAGGCCGATCCCGAAAGGTGGCGACCCCAGTAAGGTGGATAACTACAGGCCAATTTGTCTTACACCCGTTTTGGCCAAAGTGATCGAGAAGATAGTAAAAAAGTGTTTAATACATCTGTTGCAATCGAAAGACCTTCTGACACCGGCACAACACGGATTCAGGATGGGATATTCATGTGTTACAAATTTACTTGTGACGAGACAGGAATGCTTGCAAGCACTGAACCGGTTAAAGTCCGTCGACGTAATCTACATCGACTTCAGCAAAGCATTCGACAGTCAATCATGAATTGCTTCTAGACAGATTAAGGTCGTGTGGGGTCGGAGGATCGTTACATCGATGGATCCATGAATTTCTCGTAGGAAGAAAGTGGTGGGTACAGGTGGACAGCCATCTAACCGATTGGTATCCCACGACCAGTGGTGTACCTCAAGGTACGGTACTGGGACCTACTCTGTTTCTCATCCATATCAACGAGCTGCCTCAGCTTCTACGGTCGCCGGTTGCACTGTTTGCGGATGACCTCAAAATTTGGCGAGAAATTAATACTCTCGATGACTGTGACATTCTCCAACAAGACCTCGACCGCCTCGCAGTATGGTCTGCTGAAGTCCACCTACCGGTCAACCCGGCAAAGTCCCTATTCATGAATCTCGGGAAGGCTGTTCACGGACGAACATACACCCTAGACGGCCAACCACTGCATCCCACACCTTCCGTGAAAGACCTAGGTGTACTCTCACGCTGCGACTTGAAGTCCGTCGACAACAACAAACTGTATCGAAACGGACTGCGCATGCTCTGGGCGCTGAAACGCAGCTTCTGCACTTGGTCTGAGGACGTCGCCACTCGCCTCTTCTCCTCCATCGTCAGACCAATGGTAAAGTACGGCTCGCCTGCATACTGTCCGATCACTCGCGGCGAAGCGCAAAAGATCGAACGAGTACAACACATCGCCACCAAGTTGATCCCCAGCTTGAGAGGCTTATCGTATGAAAACCGGTGCATGAAACTTGGGCTCTACACCTTGTCATATCGCCGTGTTCGAGTGGATCTTATCATGACCTACCGTATTTTACATCTCGGTCATTTCCCCATGCTAAGGGCGTTACTCCACTTGCGAGTACCATACACCACACGTGGGCACAGGTACAAACTCGTGGTACCTGATCTGAATAAAATCCCACACCCCCTGGGTTTCGAGCGGAGGGTTGTGCACGTCTGGAACAGTCTGCCAGAACACGTCGTCGAGGCCGAATCTGTGCAGAAATTCAAATCTTTGTTGGATTTACACTTCGCTAACATACGTTTCAGAGAACAGTTGCCACTTGACAACGATATCACCCACTTGTGACTCACTGTGTAAACAAGCATTTTGTGTGCTACAGAAGGAGTTGCTGAACCATCTCAGGATAACCACCGGACGTGTTTATTTAAAAAAAATGTTTCTTGATTATCACCCGATGGAGTTGTACAGAATTATTTTCTACTTGCTCCAAAATACAGTATTCAGTATTCGTGTTATGCGGGGTATCGTCACATATAGTTTCGCCAACACCAGGCTTCCTGCCCTCCGCTTCCCGTATGAAACGGCTACTTCCGATGTTTACCCCGGATAACGACCGTCTCCATCCCCGATG